CTGCGGCCCTCTCGGCATCTGCCGCTTGTTTTTAACAGCTTTTCAGCTCTTATGGTGCAGCACCGCTGGAACCAGCGAAATGGGGCAGCGTTTTTCCTTCCACCTTTCGGAGAACTTCACTTGTCTCCCCTGTGTTAAAGCGGTCACCGTTTATCGAACGGTTTTGACAAACTGGAATTTCTTGGCGGTTAAGCAAGCCCAAGCTTTAGTGATAACTGGAGGTAGTATTGCTGTAACGTGGGCCCCGTTCAGACCTTGTGACCTAGGAGCGGGGATGTGCTGTCTTGCTCGGCACTGATGGCAGTGTTGCAAAGGCTTTGCGTCTAGATAAGGCCATATCTAAACATAAGGTCAATATCTGAATACTTAACTACGTAGTGGAAGACTAGCCAATACTAGATGGGAACTAAGATGTACAGTTGCTTTCTGTACTGCTTGGAGAGAATGCTTAACTTTTTTTTTTATTTATGTGCATCAAACTGAAACTTTTTCACAGGCTCCTGGGTTGCATATGTTTCATGCTTTTTTTTAATGCAGTAAATATACATTTTTAAATTAAAGTGTTGTCAGTCATTTCAATTAAAGAACTGTTGGTGGTGGTTTCTTGTTGGTCCCATCAGTTACAGTTGTTTATGATTGGGCTCACTTTAGTAGCTGAACAGGCAATAGAAAAAGCTAGTAGAAACATCTTAAGGCATGGTTTTTCTGCTGCTATGGTTAGAGTATCCTGCATTTTCAGTCTAGATAATACCACCCAAGGACACTGAAGACATGCAGACCGCTGGCTGCATATTTGGCTATGAGACAATGAAGCTAATACTGGCTACTGGCTATGTCTTCTCTGACTTGTCACTTACGAGAAGATGTGGAGCTTTCTGTGTGCTTTGCTTTTTTTATTATGAAATGTGATGATGAATTTTTGCTGCGTTGTCTCATGGAATTTAGCAACAGTATAACACTAATATCTGTAAGTGGTTATAATGCCTTCCTCTAATGAAAATGCTTGTCTCATGCTGTAGGTTTTCTCCTGGTTGCTTTCATAAACAGCTAATGATAAGTGAATATTAACTTAATGGTTTTTACCAGCTTTTTAGTGGTGTTTGAGGTGACCCTTTATTTTCTGCTAAGTCGGTTTTCCATAGTATAAATACCTATGAAATGCTTGAGAGATTTAGTATATGTGGGTCCTCAGTCTTCCAAGTTCTAGAAGACAGTGTCTTTTTTCAGGCCTTCCAGATGGTTAGAACACGAAATTTGGCAAATTACAGAAGAGTAACATCTCTAAGTATTATACCCTTAATGAACATTATAGCCTTATTTTCACTGCTCCTATATTGATCCTCTTATATTGACCTTTATCAACAGTTAGTTGAAGAACTCCTTCTGTCTGTATTTCTCTTGATGACACTTAGAACCCATCTGCTAGGAACCCTGGGTGTCTGCACGTCCGATGTGTAGGGATATGTTGGTTATTAAATGTTACTTCTGTTGAGAAAATTACTCCTATGAGATGAATTCATTCTCTTAAATCTCTTAACTGGAGAGGAGGAGGGAAACAGTCTTAACTCCCTAAGAGTGTCACTGGCAAATATTCTTTCGAATGTTTTGCTGACTTGATACAGTAGCAGGTGTGAGGGTATTCTTTCTCACTTGCGTAAGCTGTTCGTTGCATGTTTACTCAAACCTATCCTCTAAGAAATTAGATGAAGTAGATTGGCAAAGCAAATATTTGCACTGTGCTGTCAGACCAAGAGAGCTTTGTGTTTGCTGTTTAAAATAAGCTTCAGTTCTGTAGTAACTCACTCTGTTCCTAAAGAGGTTGGAGGAAGGTGTCTTCCTCTTGTACTTAAGCTTCTTGGGTAATGACATCTCTCATGGTGTTCAGGCTCCATTTTTTTCAGTAATCATCAGACTAGAACTCTTCGATCAATGTAATTACTGAGAAACAGTTATTTAAAATGAAAAATCTGGAGATCCAAAAAGCTTGATATGTATAGTTAATGTATATGTACTAAATACATATAGTCTATGGATAGCTCCTGACTTAATGGCAAGTTCTGATTTAAAAAAAAAAAAGTTTCTATTTTTTTAATCAAAAGTACTCTGTATATAAAGGAGTCTTCTACCAGAATGTATCTACCTTCCATTGAAGGTAGGCCTGGCACAGAAAGCCAGGACTCCTAAATTAGCTAGTTCAGATGTTTCTAAAGTATAGGTGTAAGTGTAGGACTTGCCAAAAATCATCTGTCCTGAAAGAAGTGGTTCATTAGTACAGATAGAAGATCTCTCACAGGGACAGGACGTTAGCTAAAGAGTTCAGTTTCTTATAGGTGAGATAAAATGAGATACCCAGAGAGTCACTAAGCACTTGTACAAGAGGAGTGATTACAGTCTGTAAATACGAGAGAAGGATAACCATTGTAATAGCTCTTCATCTGCCCGCTACGCTTTCTGCAAGTCACAGCTGGTCTGGGGAAATTTGCAGTTGTTCTCTGAAAACTTTTCTTTGGGAAATTTGGTTCATATTTCCTGTGTTAGAAAAGTAATGCACTCTATAAATGTCTGTGTCCTGAACCCCTGTGTGTGTTTTAATATGTAATCACAAAGTGGAGACTGCATTGGGCTGAACGTGAGCATCACAACTTCCACGTTCCAGATCTTTCCTGAAATTTCAGAGCAGAGGAGTAGCGAATATAATAGTGATCCGAGGAATTATGGGCATCCAGCATTATCTCTGCAGCATTTGTGAAATAACATCTTAGGCATTCTTAGGTATTCTTGCGGGTTAGTTGTAACCACTTCCTCCTCTAGTTGTCAGCTGGTGTTCCTCCACTGGCAAAAGGTGTTCAGGATCTGGAGTACTATCAGTAGAAAGCTCTCTTGAGTAACTGCTGAGAGAAGATTCGTCCTTTGCTCTGCTCTAGATGCAAACAGCTGTAGATCTGTCATGAGTGTAAATATGCACATTGAAGAAATAATTGTAAACTTCGGCTCCACAATTCTTATCTGAAAGAGAATGTATTGGTGGAAAAATAATAATATAAAAGTGTAACTTCAGTTGTCTACAAAATCTATACAGTGATCATAATTTTAAGCTCTTTTGAGATGAGGCTCAAGAAGGAGCAGTTTAGGATTGAACTAGTAAAATCACTGCAGAATTAATCTACTCATATGACCCAAGTGGTGGCCAGCTGTGTTTTCCTCTTCAGCAAATATTTCTGTTGTGCCTATTTCCAGCCAAATGCGGAGGCATGGGTTTCTGCTGAGGAATTGGAGCGGGTGGGGAAAAAGTATTTGTGGGTGGAGATGGGGATGTTGAAGAGGGAGGGCAGCTCCTCTGCTGCAGCTGCTGTCCTGTCTGCCTTTTGT